AAAAACTACACCCGCGGAACACGCAGGTCTAGTTTTAAACGCGTAAATAAAAGTGGCAATACGCTGCTTTTCTTTTTTTTTTAATCAGTGAATCTGATTAACGCTGGGAAGCTTCTCCGGTCTCTGACGGCGGAGGGTGAAGGTTTGTTTTCCGCCGAGTCCTGGTGCCACCGGAAGTAGCCAGAGCACAGGACAGCAGCCCCCCTCGACCCCCCTCCCCCCGCAGGTCTGCGGCTGACCAATGACCAATGGAGAGCTCTGCTCCCTGCTCTGGGGTCAGAGGGACCCCCCGGGTTCAGCGGGGGTCACACAGAGGGTCGGGGGCAGGGCTCCGTGCCCCCCAGGACAGACGGAGGGGCAGGAGAGGCCTTCAGCAGGGCAGACTTCAAATACAGGAATGGCTCATTCGCCTCCTTCCTCACGGTTCAGATCCAGCCTGAGGATCCAGCCTTGGTGCTGGGGGCCTGGAGTCCTGAGCACACAGAGAGAGCCGCCACGAGGCGTACCTGCAAGCGCCTGGGCCTCGTTTCTCAACGCCCCTCTGAAGATCTAAACCATCTGCACTGTCACCTGACTGCTGACTGCTGGAGCCAGTACTGGTACTGGTACTGGTACTGGTACTGGTACTGGGGGTGGGTGGGGGCGGCTGGCTTCTCTCTGCCTGTCGCAGGTTTTTCTGGAGGGGGGTGTGGGTCATCTCAGGTTGTACAGGGGGGACTGGGACCCTTCGAGGACAGAGCTGGAGAGAACCCCACTAATAAAAGTCCATCACACATCATGACAAAAACACTCAGTCATCACACTGCGTTTATCCCATTGATCCCCGATAAAAAAAAAAACATAGATCGCCAAAACATCTGGAGTGGCAGCAGGCCCTGAAATCCTCATTCCACCACTGCTTGGGAATAAGAACGCGGATTTGCACGGTCAGGTTTTAATCCTCCAGAATCCCGCTCTACGATCCCAGATTCTGAGACTCCCAGCTTGGAATAAGGAGCTGTGGAGGGAGCTGGGGGGGATTAATAGCAGGACAGCCACCACTGTGCCCCTTCTCTCCGGAAACGGAGGAGGAAGCGCCATTCCAGCCGGGTAAGTCCGGAGCGCTGAGAAGCCCCTCGTGCCGAGCTGCTGCCATGGCACAGCACACAAGCCAGCTCCCCGACAGGCACAGATCCGGCCGCCCCAGCTACCCGGCAGGCTGCTGATAAGAGATGGGCGGTTGGCAGGGGCCAGCTGCGGGGGAGGGCTGGAGCCTGCGCCGGGCCCCCCCTGTAGGGGTCGCTGTGGGGTACGGCACAGCGCTGCAGGAGGGCAGAGGGCCCCCTCTGAAAGGCACAGGGGGCCGTCCGTGCCCAAGCGCCAGGAGTCCTGCTCTGGCTTCGGTGCCAAGCAGGCCGTATATCCATACAGGACAAATAGCGTCAGGAGCGAGTCGATCAACACAGCTCACGCTCGACCGCAGAGGCAGACACGCTGCAGCAAGGTTTCCGTCTGATGGAAGCGCTGACTTGGCGGCTCGGGACCCAACAGGCACAGAGGGGAGAAACGAGTTCAACCCCAGCAGCGCCCGGGAACCAGCCGCGGCGTCTGGGGCACAGACACGCAGCGCCTGCGCGGCAAGGGAGGAAAGACACAGGAGTCGAACCCGGAATCTGGAAGCCCTCTGCCCAACGGTGACCGGTCGCAGCCGGCGACTCCGGATTCCTAAATTCCAGGCTGTGCCGGACTCCATCCGATCATCCACCAGTGGCCAATTCCGGACCAGTGGCGTCTCGAATCAAAACCATTCACAAAGCTGAGCAGCTCGGAACGAAATGCCTTGGACTGGGCGCCACGTTCTCTTCAAGCCCTTCATTTAGCCAGTCGACAGCCCAAAACCCGAGACGAGCTGGGTTTGCCCAGCCGGTTCACTGCTGCACAACCGCACAGGCCAGGAGAAAAACCTGGAGAGCAAGTGTGCAGCAGAGAGAGAGAGAGAGAAAGGGAGAGAGACAGCCCGGAACAGCTCAAACTGCACTGAGGAAAAAGCCCACCTCCTGGCACCAATTTCAGTTCAATAGGCCTGTGGTAATCCACTTACCCATTTATAACAGACCATTGACCAATGAAATTTGCACCCGGCTGCCAAAGACTAAGTGACAATAAAAAGATGTCCCTTTGCAATTCCAAACACAGGCCTGTCAGATGTGACTGTGGGAAGAGCAAGGAACTCTGGGATCGCAGCTAAATCACGGGCCGGCGTGTTGGATCCCCCGGCTCTTCGGGCCTGAAGGCTGCTTGTGAAAAGACCGACGCCACGCTCTGTGCAGCTGGGCAGCACGCTTGTGCAGCCGGGCAGCACGCTTGTGCAGCCGGGCAGCACGCTTGTGCTTGTGCAACCATCTCGAGCACAGAGGTCTAAAGCAGCGAGCCTTACGGGTGAACTTGAGAGCCAAACACCCCGATCGGACTCCTACTACAGGCAAGACAGCTTGCCACAACGCCCTCCCGTGTCCAACAGACTGCCACTTCACCAGCGGGATGCTTGGATCTCCTCTAAAGCCGTTCTGAAAACGGTGATCCCACCAAAGGAACGCATTGGGATGTGCACTGCAACACAGTCCACCACAAATAAGAGAACAAAATGAACAAATAGGATTGCAAAAATAAAAGTGGGCGCTGGACACCCCAGAGATCGTATTTTTTCCCCACCACCACATGTCTGAATCACCACAAATCAAAGTGAATCAGCCTCAGTTCTGTTGGCAGGGAGAATCAGAACCAGGCAGGCAGGTCACTGGGATCATTGACACCACAGCTCAGCCAACTAGCAGACAAACACTGCGATTCTCAGTTAGATGTTCGTTCTGGCTTGAGTGAACTGAAAAGTGAGAAAAACATGAGGGGTCATACATTCTTTCTTCAAATACTTAATAGATTTTTGCGAGTTTGGGGTTAAATTGTAGAATAACACACCACAGGAGTGCAGCTGACATTTGGGGTCACGGTGCCACCAGCCTCTTCAATTTCCAGAAGATCACGTTATTTTTAATCGCCACTGATGTCGGTCCACTGAAAACCCAGCTCTCTCGGGCAAAGCCCTTTCCTTCAGGATGAAGCCGAGTGTATTCTCACCGCGCGACAGGGTCTTTAGACTCAGTGCAGCCCAAGATGAAAAATTACTCTTTCCACTGAATACTGGTAATTCGCATATGCACACCTAAAATTAGAGTGCAAAAAAAAAACGTGATTCTTAAACAAAACGAGGCAGTGGTTTATAATTATTTAACACCAATATCCTCTGAAACGAACTCAACGTACTGATCACAATTGTAAAACCCCCAGCCAGGAAATAAGCATTAGCAACAAACAGCCCCAACGCGAGTGAAACGTTATGTGATAGCCCAATTAAAACCCTTCTTTAAAATGCCATCAACTGCCAGCCTCTTAAAACTGTTAAAAATGTTTTGGGGTTCTAATCATTTCATTTGATACTTGACACATTAAGTGTCGGGGAAGCGTTGATTAAAACAGAATGCGTAGCACTGTCCTCAGGAGTGATGAGAACACCTGGTTTAATTAATCGGAAAGGACTGATCGGCGGTCAAGCGAAGACAGTGACGTTTGAGTTATTTTTTTGCGGCCGTGTCTAATTCTCCGCGAGGTCGTGGAACCAGCCTGAACGCAACACGGAGGTGTTTCGGGTCGCGTTGTGCCTTACGAAATCGCATTTCCTTTATTACCGTTCATATTTATTTCCCTAAAAAAATAACGAAACAGCCCCTGTAGCAGTTTGCACACCAGTAACTGTGTATCCACTCGTTAATTAACAGCAATGCACCTTGTAAAAGACGTGCAAATGTACTAATGTAGATGTCGTTTACGGACGGGGTTAGATTTTAAGGAAACGCGACGGCAGAAAAGTGTTTTTTTTTTAAAACAGAATAAATTATTTTCCGTAACTTCATCACATGCTGCATCTTCTTTGCGTGAGGCTGAGATTGGCGACACCGCCGCCGCAAAAAATCCCAACCTGTGCTTGCGAGAGAGAGACCAGCAACACGGTCTCCCCACTTCTGTGAAACTACTGTACAGTATGGGACCACTGCGAGTGTCCGAGTGAAACAGGACGAGATTCACCTACAGGGGGTTAAAACAACCAGCAGGTACTTTAAGTGAAGTGGTGCAGATTTTGCACTGAGAAGTAATTTGCTTCTCGGATGTGCAAATCAGGAAAAGTGATTCTTCCCCCTAGTTAATTGCTCCTCATGTGCTTTCCCTAGGAAAAGCAAATCCTCACAAAGGTCTTATGAAGAAAAAAGATCTTTCAGCTCACCGCTTTCTCGTACGCCTCTAATAAAACAGGAATAAACTTCTCCAGAGCTTAAACTGCGAGTGTCCAGCGCAGGTGATGATCAAAGCCCGGGACTATTTTCCAATTAAATGCGCACACTCCAAAAAAAAAAAAATCCCGTTACCAGTCAGCACTGAGAAACATTCTCAGGTGATTTTAAAACAACGTTAAACTTTTCAATACTAGCTACCTTTTCTCACTAGGGTCCTAATACTGCCTGTTATAATGGTTACAGGGCTCAGAAAAGCTTAGGTTACCACGTATTATGAGCAGTTATATAGCAATTACGACCTTTTTTTTTTAATTAGAGCAAATGCACCAGTTTCATCTACACCCACCGTTCAGTAAGAAACGCACACGAATCACGACCCGGGGAAAAAGTTCAGCAAAGGGAACGACCAGAATCACTCTTCGTAAAATTTAAAGACACAATTACAAATCAAGACAAACCGTCTCTAATCGTGAAAGTGCTGCCCGGGTCTGTCTTAATACCGTGTCGCCTTCGACAGCCTAGCAACAATAACTCCAATAATAACGACTGGAGATATTAAACCATTGAATTTCACACTACCCGCCAAGCTCAGCCGTGAAATCTCATTGGTCATGCCGCTACTCGTGAGAGATTTTTTTTCTTATTTTCTCCATTAAAAAAAAAGGGGGCTCTTACCTTTAACAGAACGCGGTTTGGCCTGCTTTCGTCTAGACATGTCCCTCTTAAATGTCGTCTTCTCTTCTGCTATCACTTGCCGCTCTTAACGAAATAAAATCATATAGACGGGTTGTTGAGTTTCCCCCCCCCACACACACACACACTTTGCCTGTTGCAATGCGGCAACTTCAGTCTCAGCTTAGACACAGTCCGGTGGCACTTAAAAAAAAAGAGGAAAAAAAAACGAAGGTTGCCGACGGAGAAAAAAAAAACCCGCGATGCCCCCTTTCCTGATTTCTCTCCCAAGTTCTTCGCAGCTGTTGTAGATCAACCTGTAGAATTCGCCGGATAACTTGTCGTTTTGCGAGAGCGCTCACGGTATCGTTCTTTTGTTCCCCGCAAGAGCTCCGGAGGGGGAGACCGACGGCTCGCTGGCGGCGGCGGAGCAAATCCTCCGAGCGAGCCCGAGTTTTCGGCAGCGGGTGCCAAATGCGAGGCAGACGGGATCACACCTGATCGTCCGTGGCGGAGAAAAAAAAAAATATTGGCGAGACGTTTCAATAATCAGATTGCCTTAATGAGGCGGAGATGCGATTTAATTTGAACAAGCTCGCTGGTAATTCTTCTCCTTTTTTTTTTTTTCGCCTTCTTTCGGTTTTTTATTATTATGATGTGGTCGTCATTCACTAGCCTGCCTCCAAGATTGTTTCCCCGGTGCAGTTATCGGAACTATATTATCTTTTTTTTTTTTTCAGCCCGAGTACGGGTTTCTTTTGGACAGCCTTCCTCCGTGCGTTATTTCACAGAAGGTGGTACTGGCATCGGCATTTCGCACCGCATTTGTTTCTTGGGTTTTCGGTTTTTCCCCTCTTTTTTTCCTCTTTTTTTAATTCCTTTAAAAAATGTTTGCGATCGCTAGCCTCTCTCTCCCTTTTTCTTTGTCCTGACTCTCGTCTTCCCTCCTCCTCCCGATCCTACTGCTGGCTGGGCTGCAGTGCAGACACACATAATAAAGCCAGGCTTGGCTGGAAATGTAGCCGAGTCCCAGCAGGAGGATGTGAGAGTAGGGTCCCGGCGGGGGAGCGCTCTGATCCCGCAGGGAGCTCCGCACAGCCTGGGTTGAGCAGACACAGAGAGAGCCAACAGCACCAAACCATGGACAGCCATGGAAATTACAGCCTGACTCGAAACACAGATCGGGGCCAAAACATGGAGCTTCTACAGAGCACAACAGCGCCGAGGAAAAAGACGGACTGGATTCGACCCCGGCTTTTCTGCCCCTCTCCTGCCTCCTCCGTTTCGCACCTCGACAGCGAGCGACAGCAGCGCTTCGTGCTACACTGTCGGTAGTAGGGCCACTTCGGACATCCTCGGCTAAAAACAAGAAAACCCCGCTTGAACTGAATGTCACTTCCTCGCGTCCATCTCCAGGTGCGCCTTACATTTCAAATCGCTCTGCTCGTCTGCCCTGACTTTTGGAAGTTGGCTGCGCGTAGTTGGAAATGGGAAAACAAAAGTTTAAACCTCCCTGGTTTTGTCAGCGCGTACGGGATGGCTCTTATGAAATGTGGAATTCATTTTGCCTCTGATTATCGCTGGCTCGCGTGGTGCTTTTATTAATATTAATTAAGTGGGAGATTTTAGGACGCTGGACAAACCCATAGTACCGGGCGAGTCTCGGGGAGGGGAACGTGGTTTTGTGTTTTGAAAGTATTTTTGTGTTTTGGAAAGGGGGCGGAGGGGATTTTCCTCTTTTTGACCAGAAGTAAACAGTATTAACCCCTGCTTCGCCGCGCCTGCCATAGGAGAGAGATGAAGGCTCGGGGATGTTTTGTTTTTGCAGACATTAATTAACATGCCAGCCTCTCGATCTGATTTGTAATTACACAATTCCTGCGTTTCTGGCGCTTGGCTTGCGCGTGTCGTGTCAGTTTATTTGTAGACTTTTGAGCCACTGCTAATACTTAAATACAAATTTATATACGCGCCTTTCAATGGTAAAATAAAGCGATTCTCTTGTGATTTTCGGATATGATTCTCATCGATTTGTTACGCTCAGGAACTTTTGATATTCAGGTCGCTGCAGGAAAATATTGCACTAACAGTACAGACGCCATAGTGAAGGATATTTATCATTTTGCAGTTGTATTCAATATTTAACGCGATTTCCTTGTCCAATACCATTACAGATGTCTTGAAAACTACTTAATTTTAAATGTTATTGCATAACAGAAAGATTATAAAAGGTGCAGACTGGAACACTCCCCCGATTTGACCACAAATCAAATTTTATATCATGTTTTTAGACTTTTTTTCAAATGCGCCAATAATCGGGCTGAAAAGAACACGGTTCAAACTTCTTTAACCCTTTAAATTCCTAATCCGTTTTAATATATAGGTAAAAATTACTGCGATAACGCCAAACGTCGATTGCAGAAGAACTCAAATAAAATCGCGTATTCACTTGTGTCCACTTGACAGAAAAACAAGTTCGTGTTCCGCTGTGCTACTTGCAACACGACGTAGTTCTGTTCCAACTAATCTCACGCACTGTGCACGTCTGTCGTTTTAAAACATTGTGGCGTCTCGGCTGTTCCGGCGCCGGCACAGTTAAGTCAGAGGGCTCCCTGTTGTCGAGGGGATCAGCGGGGTTACCAGCAGATTGAGCTGCGCCCCCTGCGGGGAGACAGCGCAGCCTTTAAAATGACCCCCCGCCGGCCGGCGCTGCACTCGGCGCGTCTGAACTCCGGGCCCTCGAGTGACCTCTCACCTGGAGGCCTTTCAAGTCGCCGCTCTCGCTCCCCCGGGTGAGGAGCGGAGGGGTGACCGTTCTCTCGGATTGCATATTTTATGCATAAAGGAAGAATTTACCCATGCAGAAATAGTTCGAAAGCCAAGGACAGGACCCTAATAAACGTTGAAAAACACGGTAAAAACCGTCGCTCGCCCAAGAACAAGAGAATTGGAGATGCCGATTAAATTATTTTCACTGAAGGCATTAGACCCCAAAATATAATTTCATTGTGCCTGAAAACGGAAAGTCTATACTGATCCTCTAAACCATATTTCCCGAGTTATTTCTGTAACTAATGTAGTTGAATGGTTACCTGTCAGGTACAATTGTACCAATGATAACCTTTAATTCCACTGAAATGTTAAGCCTTGAATATGTGTCTAAGCACCACTCAACTCGGTCCGGTAACGCAGGATTACCATATTGGAGCATTCGGAGAGAAGACACCAGTAGGGGTGATGATATCTGTACCTTTTAAGGAGGAAAATCCAGGATGTTTTAAGTTATTTTGACAGTTCCCCCTGGAAGGAGAATTGCAGACCAAGAGGAGGACATGTCTGGGGCTCCAGACTCATGGTGACCCTACACTACGCCTCATGCAAGGATCTGCGCCTGTGACTGGAAGGTTGCTGGTTCAAATCCCGTGACTGGCAGAGGAATCCTACTCCGTTGGGCCCCTGAGCAAGGCCCTTAACCCCAACTGCTCCAGGGGAGCTGTATAAATGGCTGACCCTGCGCTCTGACCCCCAGCTTCTCTCTCTCTATCTGTGTGTCTCATGGAGAGCAAGCTGGGGTATGTGAAAAGACAAATTCTTAATACAAGAAATTGCATATGGCTAATAAACTGATCTTATTATCTTATCTTATTATTAATAATAATGGGACATTGAAGTCAAAATTGCTCTTTTTGCTGTAGACTCAAGCATTTCTTATTTGAGGTGAAAAGATGAATATTAAGCAAAAGTACAGAATGTCAACTTTTCTTTCCTTTTATTACTTTTATGTAATATGGATTTGTGTAAAAGGAACCCTCATAACTATTAGGACAAATTAACATAAGTAATTTAAAGAAGTATAAGTATTTTGTTGCAAATCCTTTACACCCAATAATTGCATCAAGCCGGGAACCCACTGGCATCACCAAACTCTTGGTCTGTTCTTTTGAGATGCTTTGCTTTAAAATGCTGTATCCACTTTCAGTTGCTGTTTGACTACTGACGTCAGTCTCCTTTTCAGCAAGAGAAATGCATGCTTTTGATTAAAATCAGGAGATCGACTTGGTCAGTCTAAGACTTTCCACTCTTTTTCCTCCTTGGAGGTGTTGGCAGTGTGTTTTGGGTCAGTCTTGTTGCACGATGAGGTGCTGGCCAATATGTCTGGAGCCATTCTTGTGCGTAGACAGACAAGGTGTTTCTGTGCACTTCTGAAGTCAGTCTGCTGAACTATTAACCAGCTCCAGAGGTGCATGCCTAAGCCCTGACATTACCTCCACCAAGTTCACAGATCAAATCAAAGTTTATTTATCAAATGCACAACAATACGGCGTGCAGCAGTAGTTGCTGGCAATGAAATGTCTTTGATGAAGTGGCGCTTTGGATCATCTGCAGTTTTTCCTTTTTTCACCTTGTCATTACTTTGGTAGAGGTTTATCTTTGTCCCATCTGACCAGAACTCTTTGTTGCAGAGAGCTTTGTGTAGCTTTTAAAATTCTGCCGGCAAGGTCTTCTGTGAGCAGTAGATTGTGATACCACCACCCCTGCTCTGCGGAGGTTGGTGGTGATTTCAGTGACAGTCGTGTTGGAGTTTTTCCTTCATTCACAGCTCCGATCGTTTTTCTATCAACAACCGCCGTCGTTCTCTTCAGGCGACCTGGTTGCTGCCAGTGGCCAAGTACACAGTTGTCTTTCTTTTTCAAGATGTTCCAAACTGTTGGTTTTGCTGTGCGCAATTTCCTTGCTATGTTTCTGATTGAATTCTTTTTATTCAGCATCCAAATCGCTTGCTTTTCATTCACAGACAGGTCTCTAGTCTTTATGTTGGTTTAGGTCTACTGACTCGAAAGGGAAGAGCAAGAGTTAACCCCAGCACTGCATACTCACAGCTCTTTTATTTGTGCACAATCAGTGTAACAGGAAACACCTGGCCAGTAAGAAATACCTGGTAGATAATTGTCCCAATACTTAGGCTCATATGAAATGTGGGGATTGAACATAAAAAAATGCTATTATTTTAAAACAGTACAACATATAAGCACAGAAATACCCAAGAATCTAAAGGTGACATTCCCTGCTTTTGCCACATATTAATCTTTTCATCTCAAATCTGAATTGCTTGAGCATAGAGCAAAAATAGCAATTTTGACATCACCGTCCTAATACGTATGGAGGGACATTTGCAATTGAACATCTCAGAAAACGTTCAATTCTGCCTCCTGAATATTTTTCCAAGGCAATTAAACATGGTTTTGCTCTCAACAGAGCTCCTCAGTGTGGTATAGCTGTACCTTGGCTGTTGAAATTGGCTTGAAGTGAGAAATGCTATTTACAGTTAGGGTGTGTAAGAGCCTCAGCATTTATCCAGTTTTGTTATAATTAATTAATTAAAAAGCTGATCCAAGTGCTCCGTCTTGCTCAGGGGTTTGACAGCATCCTAGCACTCAATCTGGGACTTGAACCCGCAACCCTTCAGTTATAGGTCCTGAGCCCTGACCACTACTGCCCCTGTAACACAAGAGTTTTGAGCCCTGTTGAGAAACCGTTTTAAATGTGACCCGTTTATTTTAGTCCTTTATTTATCAAACACGTTGAAACTGATCAATTGAGAACAGCTTCTGGTTCACAGTAACCGTACGAGTGCAGAGCAGACTGTTCTGGCTGGCCGTTTCCCAAGCTGGTTGTCCTGTAAGCAGCAGCAGTGTGTCTTTACCCTGGAAGGGGTGGGACACAGTACAGGATGCTCAGTGGCTGTAATTATTTAGGAAGGCACTGCGCTTGATTTTCTCATGCACACGCTACTGTGCAAATGACATTTGAAAGCACGTTTTAGTGCTCTCCCCGATTGAGCAAGTGTTGTATTGGAATTATCTTGCCTTTAGCCGTTTGCTCCTCTTCTGGTTAGCTGAACTGTTGTCATCAGCACAAAGTCCCCCCTCTAAAGACAGTGTTACATCTCATTGGTTTTGCCCTAGATAAGCTATTTTTACAACAAATAATCAGACTTAACCGATTTAAATACTGTAAAGCCGACACCTTCTTCATGAAAAAATGCATTTAATTGGAATTGTAAATTGTTTAAGCTCACATTTGTCAAAATAAATCAAGGGGCAAATAAGGGGATGGTGTTATCATTTCTTAATTATCATAGTGATAATAAATAGCACCAGTTTATTTTGTGTTATGGATTATGTCTAACCCACCAAAAGTTGAACAGTATATATTAAATGGCCAGTTTATCACTGCTGGAACTGGGCAGAGGACTGCAGCTGATCAAGGTCAGTTTCCATTACAGTTACTCGCTCCGAGAAGTCATTAACTCCACCTTGGGTTGAGTCTTCGTGTGAAAGTGAGGATGTTAATTATTATGCAATTGAAAACGGATTGCTCTGCAGCGCCCCAGGGCACCCGCAGTAGCAAGTGACCACACCACTCTGCCTGCCTACAGTAGAGGGGTGGGAGTTAAAAAGACATGGCGAGCTGGGCTCCATCGCAGGAGCTGAAAGACTTGGGGGATCAGAGCTCTGCATCCTGCACACCTTCTGAAAATAAAAGATGAAGCCACAAATGGCTGAGCTTTCTGCTCTGACAAATAAAATTGGACGGAGAGTGAAGCCCCCAGTTCAGTATTTAAAGCAATCAGTCTAATACATGAGCAGCTTTTGTTCAGGGGCTCAATCTCCATAATGAAGGGACTGGTTTTTGCAGAGCGAGAAGGTCTGAAAGGAAAAAGAAATTGCATTTAAAAGGAGTGCTGGCGCTCTAGTGAAACGATTTCTGATGAGCAGCAACAATGCACTAACTCCCATACCATTATCTCCCTGCAGGGTACTTTTTATAATTTCTACCATCCGTAATAAAAAGAGGTACATTAAACGGGCATTAGTGCCAGCAATTTGTTTTATTCTCAACAGAAAGAGAAATGTTATCTGTAGCAGACAAACTTAACCTAATTAAAACTCATTGTGTTTCAGGGCTTTCAGATTAGCCCCGTGTTTCATCGAGGTAGAATGACAGGGTTGAAGCGTTAAAAAAAAAAAAAAAGGAAAGAAACAAGAAAAAAAAAACTTTCTCTGTGCCTATTCCTCCCGTCTCAAACACGGAGGGTTGGAGGCTGGCAGGACAGCTCTTGCTGTAGCATCTCCAGAGCAGAGCTCCATTCCAGCACGCACCTCCACCTAGACACAGAGCCACACTGCCAGACTTTTCCTCTGCTAACTATCTGCACACAAGTGTTAATTGTTGCGGTAGCACATCTCATGATCAAGACCATAATTATCAACATGTACAGTTGTTGTAAGTTGTTACTTAACACTACATCATCAGTTAGGCCTGAAACAAATTGCATTTAACCCCAAACAGAGAAAATGTGAAATGCTGCAGAGATAAAAATAACACAGACCATTAAAGAATCTTCACAGACTTTGTATTACTTTGTGGTAGTAAGTAATGCTGGGGCCTTTATCCGAATATACCTCTGCAACACTCAGCCTGTGAGGGACAGGTGAGGGAGTGGCATCATCCTGGGCTCCAGGTATATCGAGGGTTATTCAGTTTGATGGGCTAACATTGTAACGCAAACAAATTGTCCATTTTTGCAAATTGCAGGATAAAGATGGGACAGAATTTCATCGAGGCCATTGCTCAATGTCTCAAGTGAGTATTAGAAACTGTGATTTGAAAAATGAAGCTAACAAACTAATCTTTTAATTTAATAAATTCAAGCAAAACACTTGTTCACAGAATACTTGTTTTAAAGGTAGCTTATTTTCCAACAGGTGTGTAAAACATTGTTACGCAATGTATGCATACACACATTTCTACAGCAGGAAGAATAGCATTTTCTGCCAGACCAGTGACTCCTACATCTATGATACTTCATCAGGGCAGTACCAGACAAAATGGGGTGGAAAATCTGACCAGAATCAGTTTGCTCCCCCCCCCCCAAATCAGATCCTCCTGCTCTACTCTGTATTTTGTACTTTTTTTCCTCCTACGAAGTCCCAATCAGTCTTCCACAGTTCGCTAAATGAAGCGGAAACAGTCCTTCATTACTCTCCAGCTTGATGAATTCTTCACAGCTGCAGATGAATTCAGCACCATGCCATCATGCACCAGCAACGTAAACAGCTGTAAAGAAAATGCACTTGCCACCTACAGCACTGAGCATCAGGGCCGAGAAAAAAAAATGAGAGACGCTTGTGTAGGTGAAACTGCAGGGAATCAACTTCAACACACTTAACTTCTAAGAGGTCACATTACTCCACTGATATAATTCCTCATTCCAAGACAATTCATACCTGTTCACTTTCCTCTACCAAACTAACCATAAGGAATAAGCCTCATGTTTTTCCATATCCCAGGAGCTAAACTCGGCCCTTCAGCTGTTTACTATCAGGATGTTCTTCAATACGGAAAACATTACGCAATGCACAACCCATGCAGGCAGCACAAAAAATGCAAAGACCCATGCAATCCGAGTTTTAGAATACCACTTACAGTAACATCCATCCACTGATAAAGAAAAGCAAAATCTCTGAAGCTATTCACAAAGATCTTTATTGACCCATGGTTAAATAAGTTTGTCTCTTAAACTTAAGTTACTCTTCTACCATTTGATAAAACGCATGAAATTAGGTTCTCGTTTGGAATTGTTTTTTATCATGAGTTAATAAAAGGGGAATACAAAAACAATCTTTACGCAGAGGAATGCACCAGTGGGTTCGTATTCTACACTGCAAAAGGGATTATGTCATTTTTATTTGCATGTCATGTCAGCAAAAAGCAATTCTAATGAATAGTAAATCTAGTAGAGCAATCCCATGACACTGCACATGAATCCTTCAGCAAGCTGTAAAGATTTTAATATCCTTTAAACGACAAAGATTGGTATATAATACATTTTTGGGAGGAAAAAGCAATATTCTAGTTTTGTTTTGCGTTTATAAAAACAATCTTCAAGAGACACAAAAACAAGATTTGAAGGCCGAAGAGACAAGTGTGAATTCGAGTTCAAGAACTACAGGTATGTCTCCAATATTCAGATTTCTGTTGCATTGTTTTTTTGTAACAATAGAAAAATATTTAGAAAGTCTGGATAACTGTTTTTTAATACAATTAGTTACGTGAATTATTTCATGCATAATACTTTTGATAAAAATAGCCAAATTAGCCATAACATCAAAATACTGTACCATTTTTAGGACTATGCAAATACAGTCTAAATATACACACAGTATATCTGACATGATTAAAGGTGGAAAATAAAGATGTGAATACTAGGCTAAATAAACAGTAGAAATTAAGAAACAAAGCAGTCTCAGTTTGCACCTCACCATAAGGAAGAGACGCAGTCATTCCAAAACTCGTCTCTGAGTCACTAGCGCCACCTTGTGGGAATATTGTGTAGGCTACGATTTGGTTCAACTCTTCAAAACAAATTTGGACAGAGGAATTGGGACAACATACTCCACCCATCTTTCCATTTAAAGGTGTTATTTTAAAAAATAAATTAAAAATTGAGTAGTAATGTATGGAATCAAACATTTATTTAGCTCAGACAAAGTATTTTTAGACCACATGCTGGTAATATGCTTGATGGTATAAAGCCTAGCCTATAGTTTATAGCCAGGCTACAGAAGCGCACTGCAATGGCACACGACATTTCAACATATTAGCAACTTACAGTGTTATACTAAGCTGGGAATGATGTGTTTTTTCAAAAAAGCAAAATTAAGTAAATATGATTAAAAAAATAAAAAACAGCACTTATATAGAAATATAAAGGTGGTCTTGGATAGTCACCTAAAGGTGAGCTTCATAATAATGTGTATCGAGGCAGTGTGCAAGACCTGCAGTCCTGAATCACAGTTAGTCACTGTTACAGAATGCATATCTGTCCTGCACACTCCTGAAACAGGATCGGACAGAAAGGACAAGGGACATACTGAAATTAACCAACAAAAAAAAACCAATACAAATGGATTTTCCTACTTTCAAAACATTTTAAATGTTCAAATGAGGTACCTGAAAGACAAGTCACCTAAAGCTGTCAAAACAATACCTAAATTGTCTCCTAGCAGGAAGCTGATAAGATGTACTGTTAGTACAGTGAATGTGAAAGGTGCAACTACTAAAACTAAGCTTTACACACCCTGGCCTGGCCTTAATAACACCAATATGCCATAAAAGAACACCACTGCTGCAGAAGTCAAATCAGAAATGAGCTTGGCACATTTTATGGATTTAATACAATAAACAAAACCGAACAGTACTCCTACCAGTGCTCCCAGTGTCATGGCTAATTTAAACACTGCTACACCTGCTGAGCTACTGTTGTCAATTTACAAAACCTAAAAAAATGTCTCCTATTTTCAGAACACAACAGCACCAGGTATTCTGTGTAAACACAACAAATTAAAGCACAGGGCCTTATCTACCTTACTGGCTGTACAAGAGCATTTCAAGACACTCTAGACATGAGCAGGCTAGGGGCTGAACGTGCCCCATGAATGTGCCATTTTCATCTACAGGGGAGTGAAAAAAGAATCAGGGAGCTCTCAGGACCCGTGGGAGTGTCCCTGGACCAATCTAACAGTTCAAAAGGGATTTGAGCAGCGGCACACTGAAATTTCAATCTTGCATCCATGTCACAGACAATAGATTGAGCAAATTTTCTTTTCCTTTTTCCATTTAGGGCTTTTCCCTTAACAATGGATACAGGATGCAATGAGGAATCCTTCTCCGTCGGTGCTCTACTCTGTGGTCCAAACTGGAATTGGGCCTTTGTTTCCTCATGCAGCTCTTCAGACAGAGAGACAGGTGGGGTGTTCCAGACACAAACGGTTTATAAAGGCAGGAGAGAGCAAGACGCACAGGCTGTCCCAGTCTTAAACAGAACACTGAAGAAGGTTGGCAAGTGGTCAGTTCAGAGCAGGGTGCTCTCCGCCTTCAGAAGCCTCCTGGCATCAGTTAGCGCCTTGGCATGTTTGGTCTCGATGGGCCCCCTGATTAAAAGAGCAATGCACACCATTAGTTAGAAACAATCATTTTCAAAGCATGTAAATTCCTCAACTGGTCTTGCAGGATCCCTACTATTATAGTAATAGGTCGCACAGAGAAAATTCTACAAATATCTGTACATGGACATTTTGCACACGAGGCCATGCTAGCCAAGCAGCAATGGACATAAACAACAAACAGAACAATGCAGTTATACCTACTGTATACACACACAAAGGAAGGAATGCACCAAACTATTTTGGCCCAGTGCGTCGAAGATAAGAGCCAAGGGGGATTCCAAGAGAGGCTGACAAGCGAGAGTTATTTTGTGGGAAAGACGGGTTGGGTAGAAAGAGGCACTGGCCTGGGATGGGCAGCAGACCTGGCTTGTCTCCCATTAAGAGGCGTTTCTGGGGCGGCAGTGGTGCGCCATGTGGGGGCCCCTGGCGCCCTTGCATGGACAGCAGTGGGGGAGGCTTTGTTTTGGGGTAGGGACCTGCTGAAACAAACAAAAGCACAGTCATATCAGATCACGGAGGCTGGTTTTGAACCTGAAGATATAAGGTGCTAACACCTCAAGTGGTTTAAATAGAAGGAAAATCACCCCTCTACGGTTTTAACTGGGCTAGCAAAAAAGACAATTCAATGCATTAGATCACATTTCTGTAAGGGATTAGTCTGGTTGGGTTATGGAAAGACACATTAAGTTTTGAATCTAGAATCTAGTGTTAACTTCAGCAGCACAAGATCATATATTTACAGGTTTTGACTCACTGTTTTAAAGCTTTTAATTGCAGTAGAACATCAGCCCTCTACAAGGAGGGCTGTGGATTCCAGCTGCACAGAAAAGCTGCAATTTGAGTCATGCTGAAGCAGGCACAGTGCTGAACCCCCTTTTAGATATCCTAGGGCAATTATACTACTACTTATAATATGACTACTCATAAAATGGATATCAGTCAGATCGGCTAAATCATTCAGGCAATGCTCTGTAACGAGATGCAATAAACCAGACTTTGTGCATGGAAAGTACAGCACCAGTCGGTGCGTTTTCTGAAGGATGAAGGGTAAAGGAAACCACATTTCTGCTGATTGGCACTCCTAGAACTACATTTCTACAGGAAGTACAGAAATCTAACACCGCGGAGCTGACAGTCACCTGGTGTGGGCAGGAGAGGTGCTTGCTTTCCCTGAGGGTGCCCAGGGTGTTCCAGCAGAGGAGGACGTCCCGGCGTGGGCAGCAGAGGGGGCGGCTTACTCAACCCGCTGGGCAGGAGCTTCCTCATCCCAAGGTAAGAGCTGCTGTCCGTCTCTGGAGGAGGTCCTGCAGAGCGACAGCGAGAGCAGCCTCCTTTACTCGCGTGAGAAGGACAGTCGGACAGCCTGCGCTGGGTCTGTGCAGAGATCTCTGCCCACTCCTCCCCAGAGCGCACCGGGCTCCTACCCTGCAGCTCCTCCTGCCGGCTCCGGATGTACTCGGCCAGGGTGCTCAGCTCCTCGCCGTACAGGTGCTTGCCCTCGCCCAGCAGGAAGAGCAGGTGCCGCGTGCTCAGCGGAACGGCGTGCTTGTCGCACTTCTCCCTCTCCAGGTAGTCGTCGGCCAGGTCGGCCGCCTTCACCGCAATCTCCTCCCTCTCCTTCTCCTGCCGCTCCGCGTGCACGCGCCCGAACTCCGCCGTCACGAATTCCATGGCGCGGTCCGACGGCATGTTGCGGTGAACTGCAGGGGCAACGCAGGCAGGGGGAAAGCAGGGTTACAGCAGTCTCAGAAACAACAGGCAGCGGCCGCAGCTTCAGAAGAGCAGTTGAAAAGAAGGTCTACGCTAGGCCTTTCTGATCCGGCAAGATGGCCTGCCTGGGAGCCCCATATGGATACTGGGACATTACCTCTTTTCTCCCATTTGAACTGTACGCTGAGGTACAAGAGCATTTCTACGGAAATATGGTTCGCTTAGTGTTCGGGTGACACAGATCAACAAGGGCACAGCAGAAGGATCACTTCATACTGGCGAAAGAAGCTACGTCACACTGGGCAGCTTACGCACTGCTTCCGATGTGAAGTGGGAAACATGGTTTAAAGCCGATGACAGTCTGAATGTTTCTCACAATTGTTGACATCTCACGTGCTGCAAAATGCATGCCTGCAGCAAACGTAAAATTACACGAAATATATCATTTCATTCCAAGCACAACTTTTTACACTTTTTGATTGGTTTATGTAATCCAATGGAACAGGCAAGTTTGATAGTTTAGGCATGTTTAATATTAGTCATCCTTAGTTGATTTTTACATAATTTAACATGAGGTTGGACAAAATGTTTTCTTTTTCAAGGTGCATAATAGTAATTGTTTGAGGGTGTGTTGTATTGGTGTGTTAATATTTAGGACCAGGTATTGTGATACTATAAAAATTAATTTTGCACATGTGATCCTCCCTCTCATTAACAAGATTAATATTCAGCTCATGGTTCAAAAACCAGAATTGTTTCTACATTTTACAGTAGTCCTACAACCAGAAAGTAAATCCTAACTCATAACTATGATAACATAACCATGCACTTAAGTACTACATCCTGCTAAATTCAATGTTACACAATTTAAAAGACAAAACATAATCTGATTAAAACTGGAATTTAAGGTTTAGAATGTGAATGAAAAAACCATGATGCAAGTCAAAACTAGGAACAGCCATTGTCAGCTTGAACACTAATCATTCCTGAACCCTAACGTGGGTGACATTTATGGGTCTAATCTCTGTAAACACTCCATGTTATTAAGTATCAGTGACCTAAATAACTACATATGTCTATTTTATAGCATACCAATGAATGTGTATTGTCTAATGATGTAAGTGTAATGTAACACAACTGCACTCCTTTTCCACATTGATCTGTTATTTTGCAGTGTTTTGTTTAATATAGTTAAATCTGTTAAGCCTTAGGATGAGTGATATGAATGAAGCAGAACTGTTTTTTTTTCTTTTTTTTGCAAGTGCTTCTTTATAACGAAAAACATGGTCAAGCTAATTTAAAATCATTTGAGAACTAATTTTGTTCTTGATTTATGTGTATCTTAATGTTATGGCCAGTAAAAGCTATCGGGAACCCCTGACAGTGCAGATAAGGGACCTTTTTATGCATTTTTTTGTCAGTGTTTTAACTTTAAGATGTTTCTTCGGGTCGGGAGTGTGAACTGTTAACTTACTTTTGAGAGACTCATAAAAAATGATTACGGTGCAAGAGGAAAGAGCTACGTTTGTCTGCTCGATGAGAATACAAAATGCGGAACCGTCACTGCGGACGTCTTGCAGGGCGCGGGTGAGCCCCGATTCAGACTGCAGGTAAATCATTTCCACCACAAGGCCGCGGTCCTGCAAACAGTGGCCTATCGATTTTGCATAATCCCTTTAAAAAGAAGGAGAGAGCTGGTTATTTATTTCGCACAGAGGAAACAGTGACATTGTTGGTCATTGGAGCTCGTCTGCTCCTCAGCTGGCGTACAAAGACCACAATTAGCAACCCGAGTTGTGTGCCGACGCTTATTTTCAAAACCTGCCCTCCAGTCTAAAACACTCATCTGCACCAGCTGCATCTTTGCCATTACGGCGCCACTGGGTCACCATTTCAGTCGGTTGGCCTGTGAGCAGGACCCTAGTTATAACGCGCTACTTTTAGAGGATTCAGGATTGTGGTTTCTGAGTGCAGAAGTGCATTTTAACAAAAAGGTCACCACAGCGCCTCCTATCCCAAGGTTTTATTTCTGCAGTAGCCAACAGATTAAATCCTGAAAGCGCCTGATTAAGACACAATCAGCTCTCATCTTCATTGACGAGGAACGAGACTTTTCAAGATGAAAGACACCAAGTGGGATTTTTCTGAATGTGCCAAAAAACTGAAGCTGATTTTATAAAGCAGAAATAAAAAGGTTTACTCGCATCACCTCCTAATTACTATTTTAAGCCTTTCTTTATCTCATCACTTTCTTATTGTTTTGCAATTTTTATTGAGGTTGTGTCTTCTGGCGTGTGGAGATGGATATTTTGAATTTCACAACATTTAGGAGGAGAGAAAAGGACTACTGAATATTGGACACTGCAGCCATCACACCTTTAAGTGGGCAGTTGACATGAGAACAGAATTGATCAAGTCTTAACTCACTCCCATTTTCATTTAAAAATGATATGAACTGTGAGAGCAAAGTTATGATGAATAATTAATAATATTTATGATGAATGAAAAGACGTTTTAAAGCTTTGGATATTTGAAATTTCAAGCTTGTGTTGCGCAACCTTTCAGTGCTGAGACTAATATATTACTGCATTAAGAGTACTAACAAAACAAGGACACGAGAGGCTTGAAGTCATGTTTTTCCGTTTTTAACAGTCTTATGCAGGTCAATGGTGAGGAGGTTTTATGTGAAGCTAACGGTTTAAATATTGACTCTGAATGCATGGAGTTTGTTTTTTAGATTTCACAGATTAAAGGAAGCGTCCTTTTGCAGCTCATTAAAAATTGGGTTCTCTTCCAAGTGCAAAAAGTCATACTGGTCAGCAGCAATAAACTACCGATGGAGTGAACTGCAGGGAGGAGGAGGGACGGCAATGGATTATCAGGAGTGCAGACATGACAGGAGGTTAAACACACTTTCACAGTTGAACATTAGAACATACACATTTGTAAAAGACAGGCTCTAGTGGAAATAAAACCATCCCGTAGTCAGGTTTTAAAAATATTTCTCTTTTAGTGAACACACAGTGGTTGCTAGTGTATACCTTAGACTCCTTAAGCACAGTTTTTTGGGGGGGTACATTGCACAGGAAGCAGAGTATGTATCAGTGGTTCTGTGAAAAATGTAAACTACAAAAAAAATCATCATCAGCTCACAGTGTCTTGGGGAGGCCACAGTGATCAAGTTCAATCTGCCGGCTGAATTTTGGTGGGCTCCAACCCTTTCCAATGCCAGAGACGACTCCGTTTTCTAAAGGGTCTCCAATTAGTGGCTGGAGATAAGGGTCCCCTTTACAGAATATGACTGGAATTGGCTTCATTAAATATCTGAGAGCTCGCCCCTATTGAAAACCAGAAGAAGCCACAGAGCACCTCCAGAGGGGCCACTCCGGGCCGAGCCTTTACTCACGTTTGCTGCTTCGTGACGGACAGGACCACGCAGTCCGCAGGCCGCTGCTTGTCGTACTCCTCCTGGATCTGCTTGTAGAACTGCTGATACAAGGAGCTGCGCTTGTCAGCCTGGGTGTAATTCTTGGAAGCTGTACAACATCCCGAGGACAAAAAAAAAAAGACACAGGAACGGTCTAAGCTGGGGCAGAAAAGTGTTAAGAACTTTGCCTTCACACATGTAGGCACACATGCAGTGGGGAGAAAGGCATTCTCTGCCAGCGCTTTACTCCCTAGCCCCAAGGAAATAGCTAGCATGCAACACAGGAACACATGCAGAAAATAGGCACATTCTCTCAATGAGCTACTCTTAAATCTAGTTTAAATATTAAAGCATGTGCATCACTGTTTTTGGTCCCCTACCTCTTAGTTTTCCTTATATCCACACTGTGCACCATGTAACCCGAATCTTCAGAGCTGCAGGTTTGAACAAAACGTCATGCACTCGCACTCATCACAACTACCTGCCCAGTGCCCATAAAACTGGAAGCCGAGTGACAGCTTTCTGGGGGAGGGATGCCGCAGCCCAGCCATCACTCTTCTCCTGCCTGTCTGGAAGTGCGGGTCTTACCGTTCTGGGAATACTGATATCTTTCATAAGAGTCTTCGGTCGCGGACGAATAGTCGTGCTGTTGCTCCAGCAGTTCTTCAAAGCTATAGATTTTTTTAAGACAAAAATTCAAATACACGACATCAGCATCACTACGTAGTCTTCACACAAAAAAAAGGTTACGATTGAGAGGAGGTCATTTTGGCCCATCTGTCAAAACTTTAAAGACTCTCCCATAAGACCTGCAGGACTGTCCCTTTTCAGGACAATAGGCAGCAGACGTTGGGCTACAGGATGTCTCTTACCTTTGCATGTCCTCATACTCCTCACCATAGCCTTCCTTCCTCTCCTTTCTCACTGGGTATGGGGTCTGCCTGAATGGCCTGTAGGGCTTGATGCTACTGAAATGTATAAAAAGGAAAAACAAAATCACAAGTTGGTCCCTCCAGCACCTCTATATTAATTTAATTTGATATTAAGTCGTGTGCAGCAAACAAACTTAAACATCTAACCCAGGGATCTCTAAACCGAGTCCAGGAACTCCCCAAAACAGTTATTCATATAGGTCACCCTAAATACTAAACCTAGGCATTTTATGCAAAGATTAAAATCACTTGTTTAATCAGATGATCAAGTAAGTAAATGTTTCAATGAAGGGGACTCTTGTCATTGAAGGCTGAATGATGGTTTCTGTTCCAAATGATTGCTAAACTACTTAAACACACCACCTGTTTATGTGACCATAGTTACGTTTCAGGGCTTTATGAATTGATGATTTCAAGGGTATCTATAAATCCTGCTGGACAGGGGTTCTCTAGCCTCAGGGCTGGAGACCCCGGGCATAACCATGTTTAGTACGACACCCACTCTCCTACCAAGACAGAACAAACTAAGAGATTCAGCAAGACTACTTTCTACCCTGTGAAAAATGAGAAACTATGCAAACAAATGGAATAGCATTACAGTGTGATTTGCAAACTGTGGGCAAGACACAGAAACCTTAGCAATGTCTTAGTGTTGAATGTTTCTTGTCCAAAAGATAACTCGCTCATTTTTAAAGGGTGGGGGAAGATCACACCAAAGATCTCACGTTTACTCACCCCGAGGTGCCGGTGGAAAACTCTATCACAAAACCAACTTATTTTAATTTTTCCAAAGCAAGAGGTATCACATTATCGCTGCAGTTAACCTGTACGCATACCGCCCTATGGGAGACTGTCCTCTCTAAGACGAAGAGGACATTACAGCCCTTTAGAAACCCAAAACTGAAAGGGGTGCACAGGACCCCACAGTGACTCTGCACTACACAGCAGCCACAGACACCAAAGACAGAAAGCCCCGTCTTACTTTAGGAGGAAAGGAATCCTTCCTGGTCCATTCCGGCTCCTGAAATCGAAAAGACATAACTGATTGCAGTGTTAACTCTAGCTATTGCCCGACAGAACTGACAGCGGTTTTTGTAATGGATTTAACCTTCAGAGCCACACTTGGAAGCCATTTGTTCTCGTTACACGTTTACACCCGCACCACGGCACAGGTCAGAATAAGCATCAAAGAAATAATCAGTTCTTGAAAAATGAGAAACCCTGACAGAGCTTATCAACTAACTATTGTTTAAAGATATTTCTTACCCTCCATTGGGCACGGGCTTGGGCATCCGGCCTCGCGTAACCTTCACCCATGAAGACATTGCGGCAGCCTTCAATCGGAAAGGTACTGCCGACACCGCTTATCCTTACCTAGAACAGGTTATACTCTGTTACAAATCCCCCCCGGCGTCAGACTCCCCATCCAGTGCGAACACGCTTCACGTATTTCAGGAGTTCCAAAAATACAGCGGTTAAGAGCCTGCTAACCCTTTTAAAACCCCACTTGCAAGAAACGGGAACAAACACAGACGCCAAGGAACCCTACTGAGCAAGGGTACAGCCATGTCCCCAGTTTCTCACTGTTCCCAGCAGCTATGTCAATAAACACAATGGACCCAGGAGGTTGTAAACCTCCGCTTTTCACTGCAGAAGTAACACACTCAAGATTTCATTTATTCCCCCACCTAACACCCCTTCACACTACACCTGACGAAGAACGGTGAAACCGCAAATGATGAACTTTTCCTGTCTCAGAACAGGTTTAGAACACATTTCAGAGACTGCAAAGCAATTGAGTATTTTGCTCCTGTTTGTATCAATACAGCAACCTTATCAGCAGGCCTGTGCGGTGCAGAGAGTGGATGGATTTCTTCTCTAAACTCAAACTAATTTTATTTGACAATTCAAATCCTGTCGGCTGTTTCAAAGAAGGGAAAGAAGAAAATATGCAGGTTTACAAAATAGGAAGAGAAACGGCAGGCAGTCTTACCACTACTGTTCACTACAGCAGCGCAGCACGTCGGCTTCGGCAAGAGACACCCCGCAGCGAGAGGTGGGGGATTAATGTCGCAGCGCCCCCTGGCGGCACCGCCACGACCCAGCAGCCCAGCTTCCGTTAAACAGCGCTGGGAAGGGGAGAAGGAAGGAGAGGGTGTCATGTTATTTTTTTCTTTCATGAACAGTGTTTGTCTTGGCAAATGTTGTGGGAAATGTTGAGGAACGCTTTGAGACCAAATATACGCAATGTTAAGATTATCTTTTCTTCTGCATCTCCGACGAGCTCCCCCGACCGGAACTCACCGTATCCCACAATTCTCCGCGCGATTGACGTTAAACACTCATGTGAAACCGACTTGAGTTGTCTTTTCCCACACAACTCCCCAAAGCAAGGGTATTGTGGTCAGAAATTTCCCTCAGTTCGATATATTCTTTTTATTTGTTTTACCGCTGTTGCATCCTCTCAGCGGAAACGGCCCTCAGCCCACGGTTACGTACAGACTAGCGCTCCATGGCCAAACGCATTTAAACCCCTCAGCCAATCAGAGCGCAGCTTGTACGGCAGGCTCGGGCAATGATCCCGCGTTCGGCCAATCAGCGTGCAGATTTCGGGAGCGCTGGGGTCTGCTGCTCCGGAGCAACGCGAGCAGGATACCAGCGGCGATGAACTCCCTTGAACAGGCTGAAGGTAGTGTCGACTTAGCACAGCGACCGTCACCTGTATTCATTTGGGATTTCACACTTTGTGCGTTTTTCTTGGGTGGCAGTAAGTCCGGTGTAGGCTGAGTGTTGAGCTCGGACACGGCGTTGACCGGGCCCCGGGCACTGTTTACGTAAACTAGTATTAATTTGGCTTTGCAACTAACTCTGTAGTTGCAAAGACGTTGAAACACAAACATGTAACTAACATCCTTGTGAGTTTTACAATGAATGTGTGGGACAGTGCAGTAATAATATGCAGGATCTAGAAATTTAAGATCACGAGTCATTTCACACTACTATCCACCTGTTTGTACGCGTAATTTGTCTCTTCTTTTTTACGGCTTACACAAAAATCATTTATTCATAAATACTGTGGGGATATTTTTAACCGGTGCCGGGTTTCACCATTTAGGAAACTCCCATCATTTTTCTCCACTGTTTTGGGGATAGTGTGTTGAGATCTGTTTGAAAAACAATTCGTCGCACATTTATTACTATGTTTTATTGTCTCGTTTAAAACATTTCTTGACGTATTGTACAATACGTAAATTATGACCAGAAATGCGTTTTGTCTGCTTCTCGTCGGTATGTATTTATCATGCCTTTGTATGTTTACAGGGCGAGCGTGAATGTGTGAATTCACGTTGCAACTGTGTGCACCTCTTATTATCAAGCTTTTAATCTAACATGCTTACACGCGCGCAGCTACTGCGTCTTTAGGTGCCTTCAGGAATCAGACCTTATTTTTAAGCCTCAAACTTGTGCGTTTGGGCATTACACCTTCTGGAGTTTAAATGTCTAGGCTTGAAGTAAAGTTGTGTCTGTGGCCAAAGAGACGTACATGTTGCACTGAGCTGCTTGAAACATCTGCCGTCAATCTGTCTCCATCCATCAGCGCAGATTGTGTTTCACTTCAGCTTGGGACAGAAACGAAACCCAATGTTCTGAAAAGGAGAGGTGGTACAAACAGTTGGAAGTGTCAGGATCCATGAAAAACTGCATTATTAACTCGCTTGAGTAAAAAAATCCTACATGTTGTCAAGAATTAAATGTACAGTCCACAAGCCTTACCTGGAATAAGCAGAAAATTTTGGATTAATATCCAAACTGGTGTTTCCCAGTAAAAACAAGTTGTAAACAGTTCACATTAGAGCATGTGACTGTATGGTGTTGAAGGTTAAGAGCTGCGTCTAATGGCTTGGAGATCTTTTCTGTGCAGATCTGAAGGCGTTTGAGAGGAGACTGACAGAGTACGTGTCCTGCCTGCAGCCTGCGACAGGGCGGTGGAGGAGTGAGTACTGACAGATTACATCGACCCGGGAGGATGGAATTGATGGGTTTCGGACTGGGGCAAGAGCCTTTTTATTTGTTTTGCTAGTGTTTGTCAACTGAGGCAAATTATCAAATCTTTGCGCTAGCTACCAATCACGCATTCCAAACCCTGTGTTAGAGTAAAAGTTCCAGGGAGTTTCTGGAAAAGAGTAGGGGTGTTACCCCAGCATCCTGGTCAAATTTACCCCCTGCCTTTACCAGTCATGGCCTCCTAATAATCCCCTTCTTTGAACTGGCTTCATCACTCTGCTCTCTTCCCCACTGAGAGCTGGTGTGTGGGGAGCGG